TTTAGAATAAAGAAAAAAAGGAACCTAAATAAAAAAAAATATAACCATATCTAGATTAGCTTTTAAAACTTTTGGTCCAAATTAATCCAAATTTTGGATTAATGATTAATTAATTTAATCCAATGTCACTTTTTAATTTACACAATTTCAATTTGCTGATTGAGAAATTTTTAGCTTTCAATCAATGCATAAACTCATTTTTCTTTTACATAAAGTGAACTAGGTAAAGTACTTGTACTAATGTAGCTCTGGCATAACTATATTTTATTTGTTTTGTTAACTCTATCATAGAGCTTAAAAAAGATGAATGAAAACATGTTTGGATTTTATTATTTTTTATTCGAATGATTTGAATAAAAAATATATATATATAAAAGTTTTTATATATTTTTTTTTTTTTTTGTGGTAATCATAGACTCTACGATTACCACAAAGTTGGTACTTGGTAGTTATTATAGTCATAACCGTTATAGTTCTCAGATTTTCATTAAGGTGAACTGGGACACAAATATAAACAACATCAAAAACTTTTTTATATATTTTTTTTTTATTCAAATCATTCAAATAAAAAATAATAAAATCCAAACATGTTTTCATTCATCTTTTTTAAGCACTTATTATTATTAGATTTAGCCGCTTTGAAATGTCTTTTTTTTTAGCGTAATATGTCCTACATTTCACAACAGTCGGATTTTAAGAACGTTTTTAAGAACTGAAATATTGCATTATAGACTCTCGCCGCATTCCAATCAACAAACAAATACGTTTAGTATTTTAATATTTGATTTTTGACGTTCATTATTTAAATATTTGCGTTTTGACGAATGGCAAAAACATACTCACAAATTTTTGATTCCTATAAATAATTTTTTTTTAAACTTCATAGTCCATTTTTTTTTAAACACAAGTCCACTCTTTTCCTAGGCTTTTATGATTCCAGTCATTATATATTTCCTTTAGCTGAGTTTTAACTATTTTGCGCACTATTTGTATCTGATTAATAAATATGGCATCATATATTTCAATTTTTCTTTCAAATAATCCAGTACCAGGGTTGAGGTCAAATATGTTTGATCAAATACAAATATAGCTACAAATACAAATTCTAGATTTCCAAATACAAATTTAAATACGTTAATTCTAGATTACAAATTGAAATACAAATATATGCAAATGGCATTTTCCAAATACAAATATTTGTAGTTTAGGTGAAGTAAAAATACAAATACAAATATTTGTAATTTAGGTGAAGTTAAAAATACAAATACAAATATTTGTAATTTAGGTTAAGTTAAAATATAGAGATATTTTCAAGACAAGATTGTTAAATGAAACCGCTGATAAAACTGATTAAAAAAAAAAAGACAAAAATCTCTACTAAACAGAAGAATAAAACAACTCTTCATGACAAATATCCCTTTAAAACAAATTTTTTTAATTCACTTTTGTTAAAGACAAAAAAAAAAAAAAAAATCTTTTCTATTCTCGAAAAAACCTGGTTAACCTAGTTTATAAAACTGCAAATACATTTTAATCAAATACAAATATTTACGAATTTTATTATCGAATACAATACAAATACAAAAAAAACAAAATTCAAATGCAAATTGTCTAATTTTCAACTTCGCTCAAAAAAAACTCAGGAAAAGGTTTCAAAACCTGCTTCTGAATTAACCTGTTTCTTTATCAAAAAAATTGTCACAAAACGTTTTGTAAAAGATTTTTTTGGTCATTTATTATTCCCAATTTTATGGCATATTGGCATTAAATAATGCATTATTTAACATAAATTATTGCATTTTGGCATTAAACATTGAATTAATTTTTTCTAAAACATTAAGACAGTTAATGAAACAGTTGCTTCAAATACTGATTAATATTATCCTTCTAATTTTAATATTTTAAAACTACTTTTCTCGAAACAAAAAAGAAAAAATCTTTAAATTATTCTGTTCTTAATTTATAGATTAAAAAATAATTTAAAAGTTGAAAACAATTGTTCCAGCAAGTATTATATGTAAAATGTTCAGGACGTTCATTTGTTTGGCCACCTATAACTTTGTAAAAATGTTTTTTGTATCTGCTCTCATGCTACCATTAAAATTATATATTAGATACCAAAGCTCTTTTAGTGCTGTTAACAAATAATACTAATTTTGTAGGTCTTCTTTGTATTTTTTCTAATTTTGTGATATCTTATTTCAAACTGATTCGCCATGCTTGGATCGCAAGTTCAAGATGTGGTCTAACAAAATTTGCATATGATTATCCAAAATATCTAAATGTTCGTTTAATAAGAGCGAGCATTTGATTTACCTGCAGCTTTATCAGTTTGACAAGACCATTTAAAATTAGACAGCATCATTACTCCTAAATCGCGTTCTACTTTAGATATTGCTAAGGTATTATTTAGTTTAGTTTCTGCTTTAAACATTCAATAGGTTATATATGGAGTTTTTATGTAGATTATTTTACATTTTGCATAATTGAATTTCATTAACGATAATGATGACCATTTAAATATATTTTCAATATTTAAATGTAATTCATTTATGCTTATAACTTCATAAATTTAACTTTTGAGGCAATAAATTTTTTTTTTTTTAATGGTAACATTACTCATTCTCAACTTAGCATAAGAGATCAGAATATATAGGATTTAAAATCATTTGGGATCTTAAAAACCAATTACATAAAAATAGCTCTAAAACTGCAATTTATTAAATAAAAACCATAAGTTAAATAGAAAAGTAGAAATTTTTTTTTTTTTTTTTTTGCAATTATTTTTTTTAAATAATATTTTTAAAACAGCCGTAATCAACGATTAGTGATTCAGACACGTTTCTTGTTTATTTATCTTCAGAAACTTTGTTAAGCCCGCGCTTTTTAACTTGTCGCAACTTATGATTTCATTTCGTTGTAAAACGCTCTTGTATGTTGAGGCGATTCTAGGAGTAAAATAAGGGGAAGAGGGCGAATCTTTAAAAAGTACCAACTGCTTTTATTGTGTGCCATTTATAATTAGCGTGCTAATTATTGACAAAAGTCACAAGTTGTGATTTTCTATTTTTATAACGTTTTTTATTAATTGTCGACAAGAGTCACAAGTTGTATTATATGCTATATAAAGCGAACAATTTTTTTTTTTTGTAAATTTGAACTTTGTATATAAGTAAAAGAAAACGTTAACAACAAAAAAATGGCTTTTAAATGTGTCGAACAACAAGCTAACCGGGCATGTCTATTATCTCCGCAATATGAAGATGGACAACCAAAGCGATTTATTCGACAGATGACTTTCTTCTTTGCAATAAACAATATAACTTCAGATCAACACGTAGCGTTTTTGCTTGCCGATCTGCCGTTAAAGACTTACAAGACCATGGAAGAATTAACAACACCGGAAGTTCCAGAGGATGTTTTGTACAAAGAATTGGTATCGAAAATGGAAACGTTGGAAATAAGAAAATCATCGTTAATCTCACGGTATGAGTTTGGAAAAATTTACCGAGGTACTGAAGAATCTATACAGACGTTCGCGCATCGAGTGATTCGAGCAGCTCAAGACTGCAAGTTCTTGCCCTCAGAGAGAGAAGGCCGACTTCGTGACCAATTCATAATTGGCATTAATGAT